GCTGATTACTTCACGGGTTCCATCTCAGTTTAAGTTTTATTTGGAACAAACTTGACCTTCACTGATCAGGCTTTTATTGACGATCAAGTTATAGATCCTGGTTATACAGGAGTTGCAACAGTGTTATTTCCTTTACTTAACATCTTCGTATCTATGAATTCATAATACTTCAATCATTGCTTTACAAATACCATGAGCTAACTAAGAATTTCAAAAGGACTCCTCAAGGTACAACTTTCGGACCAATAAGTTACAAAGTACCCAGAATGTATAGTTTATCCTTCAGGTGAGTACAATTTATTTTCTTGAGCCCACCTTAAGTTAGATACTTCTAAGTTTTCAAACAGGCGATAAAACGTTGGCTAAACTCGCCAACTTCGAATCGGCAGTTGCTAAGATAAAGGAAACATTTTGGGAATCTCGATAAAGCACGAGTTGTTTTTTTAGTAAAGTAATAAAAACTTTGTTTTTAAGATTAATGCAGCAACATTTAGCGAAGGGTTTTAAGACCCATTTTATAAAAGTGAAAAGTTTCATCAGAGGTGAGGTGAGGTTACTTTTTAAATAGTAAGGCATATTTTAAAGTTCTTTTTAATTTTCGTGTACACAAACTACAATAAATTACTTATTCATTAAGGTTGGCTATTTCAGAACAGTTCAATTTGAAGTAATTTTTCTAGTCAAGTATCTAGCCTCGTAAGTCCTGTGTTTTTTCAACAGCAGTATTCATATCTGCCGGATGTACTATACCAAGTACAAACTAAGAAATGTGCTTCAGACCGAGATAAAATATTGACGGTTTTACATAGTTTTTTAAGTGTTACATTATGTTTTGTATTTTTTACTGTAAGTTTAGCATCTTTATCACCTGTTTTAAAAGAAAAATATTGAAAATAGTTTGTACTCCTGTAAGTACGTTAGGCTTTTTATATAGTATAAAAAATAATATAATTAAGATAAAGTTTTTATTTAAGTATTAAAAATAAATCATATTTTTCTTCTAAACGTCACTTAAGTAAGCAATAATTATGAAATTCAGTGTTTAAGATAAAATTATTTGGCCTTAGCGTTGTATATGGAGAATTTCACCAAAATTAATTTTTCCTTACTAATATATTAGTGATTTTTTAAAAAGCCATGAATTCAAATTTTATGAAATTTTGTAGGTAGATTGTAACAACATTAAGCTATAAAAAAATTAAGACATTTTTTTGAAAATTGGTATCTGTATAAAAATATATTTATTTTTGTTTAATGGAAACGGACGACAATTAGGACGACGAGCTGTCTTTTCTAATTTAAAAAATAAAATTGAGCTTAACATTTTATACGTAAAAGTAAGCCCTTGAAGTATAATTTCAAATAAGAAAAAGAATGATGGACATAGCTATACTATGAAAGAAATTACATAGTAATGAACTTCAAAGAAAAAAAAACGCTAATTTTATACCTAATACAACTTTCATACAATTATTTGTGTAACAAACGCCTAACGTACTATATCAAGTACAAATTATTTTGACCGATCATAAACTTCCTAAAATACAAAGTTTCTTTTTAAATTTTGTTTCATTTACAAAAACTATAATTTATATTTACAGATACATTTAAAAAACAAGAGATTATTTTGATATAAACAGATAAACTATCTTCGTGCCGGCCGGCAATCCGACCGCGTGACCATTTTGAGAAAAATTGACACTGACACTGACAGTTGACGTTACCTGTCTAACATGGCGGAATTGACCATAGAATATTGAATGAGTATGGTCGTATCATTTTTGCCATTGTAAAAAACTACCCGGTAAATGGGGAAAGAAAAATTTGTACTTGGGTAAGTACATTAGGCAGTTACGCTTGCTATGAAATTTAAATGTCAGGTCTGAACTACTATGCTTAGTATGTACTTGTACAAGTACGCGGGGACTTACGAGGCTAGAACAAAAGCGCAAATAAAACATACCTAATTAACATTTGATATAGCTTTACCAAAATAGCTCAAAGATATTCGGTGCTCTATATCGAAAAAAGGTATTAAAATCGTAACAATGTGGTAACACCTACTGAATAAGCAAACACATTATTATTTCACGAGCCAGATACGTAACAGGATGTCACGAGCTCCTCAATAAAACATTGCATCATAAAAAACGGCTCCCTTTCGAACAACATTCACCTTACATTTTTATTCTGAACACCTTCCCAGGACGGGTTATAACGTAACTTGTGAAGTTCATACAGAACAGCCAGCACAGTTTGAAATATTTCAAATTCAACTGACCTGTCTACTTCTATCGTAATGAAATTGTTCTCTGTACCTACGCGTAGGTACGGCACCATCTATTAAGGGCTACGATTGATGGTAAATATTGTAAAAATGATGGTTGCGTTTATTTCAATACCTCTACACATTACAGAAATTGGGATCAGGTCATACTCGATTATTTCCCACCCTTAAGTGTGTTATGGGAATTTAACGTATAAGAAGTCTCGGGTACAGCTTGTATAACTTAGTCTTTTTCAAGAAATACACGCCAGCTGATCATTGTGAAAGTTTTTCCGGAGGGTCACTGTCAAACAAACTGAGAAAGGGGCTGTGATTTTAAATGAATGGACTGGCTGATATATTTCTATCAAACATACACTGTTTATCTACGAGTGAACTTCACCTAATAACATATTACTTGCGTAACTTTGAAACCGGGAGAGATCAGTTTACAAAATTGCGAGCAGACCTTTAAAGTGGCACTTTGTAATTTCGCTTTACAACTCATGTAGAGCATACTTTTGAAATTGGTGCTGAATTTTTAACGAACAATTTTTATATTCATTTTTTTACTTCTCTGTGTTCTATGAACCTTTGTGGCAGATTTTGTAAGTCACAGAGTCAGCCACAGATTTCGTAACCTACTACTAACTATTTCAGCAGTGTGGTTCCAGTAGAATAAGACCACTCCCTCTCTTCCTGCGGATGTCGTAAAAAGCGACTAATAAGGGACATTTTTTTAATCCACAACGAGGAAGCTCTTGGCCTGGATCTCACCTGATGGTAAGTGACGAGCAGGCCGAAGGTAGAAGCGAGCTTCACCCGGAATCTGATTTGATAACAATGACTCTATTCAACTCGATTTCAAAATTAATATTCCGAAGTGAATCACAGACGAAATTCCCGCGGAAATATCATGCCTAATTTACAGAATAATTTGACTTATTAATAAAAAGAAGTAGGCCCTTAAAACTCGAAGTGAAATTCTTCGAAGTCATCAGTATACGAACATTTACAGAAATTCGCCATTTCGCTATACGAGACGAAAATCTTTTGGCCAGATTGCGTATTTCGCTTAATTGGGCCGAGTAACAAATTTGAGAACACTCCAGCGTCATATTGTGTTCGGTTTAATAACTTAAATTGGTTTGGTTAATATTGGAAATGGCTGATATTGGAAATGGCTGATATTGGAAATCGGTGAAAGCGATATGTTTGGATTAATAAAATGGAATATTTGGACTCAAACCTAGGGCATGCTTTATTGTGCAGTTAAATTTTAATTTTTTTATTAAATTATTCTCATTCTGCTTTAAACGTTTAACAGCCCGAACATTTGAGAGGATATTAAAATCCGAGATGTCTACAACTTTGAAATAGCTGACTGAGTATTCAATTTATTTTTAAGCACGTTTTTGATGGTTATTAAAACTTGGTATTCCATCAAGGCATAAAAAGACATCATTTTTAGGCTCCTACCTAATCCTACTTTTTTTAATGCTTCATTTTCCATCATATTCTGAAACCTCTGTTTTTACTGGTTCCAGTGTTGTTCAGTATTGTTTTAACTAATTTGAAGAAGCTTACATAATGCTCATAAATAGCATTAATGCTATCAGGCCTATAACCTACTCTTCTATAAAAAAGCTTTTAATTTCAGCAAAGTTGTACCTGCTAATAAAAAACTCGACCCATACGCGATGCAATGTAAAATCACAACAATGCAAAACTCCAGGCTCATTGCGAAGCTGTATAATGGCACTGACGAAGCCATTGTACAGCTGCAAGAGCTACAATAGATCTCTAATTAGAGAGCCGTATTAAAATGTACGGGCCCGTATTAGTATTGCTTGCAACGTGGAAAAAGCTCGCATGCGTTCTGAATAATTCGGAATTTTGGATTCGTGGGCGGAATCAAAGTTTGTGCGGTTATCAATTTATGTCTATTTGGACCAACAAAAAGCGCGTTTTACGTTGAAACATAAAAATCGGGACAATATTTATGACTGATATCAATTTTATTTAAAAAACAGTGAAAATAGTTCTTTGCAGCATAGACCAGCACAGATCAAACCAACACCTAGGACTATTAAAATCGGGTACTCATACCACTAGCCCAGGTGGCTATCCCAACTAACAACAGCCACTCTGTGAAGTAAATAAAAGAAGAAAAGAAAATTATTTTATTTTCCTAAGTAGGTATGTGAGAAGTATAGGAACAGTATGGCATCTACTCAGGGTAGAGTCTAGGGTAGAACCCAGAACACATCGCTTGCATAATGGATAGAGGAGCTTTCATAAACAAAATTCTTGCTCCATTTGGGAAAGAAAAACTTTATCTGAAGTTCGCTGCAACTGCTGTATTAGTTCTGTCGTCTAACCAAACTTAAAACATGCAGCGCTAGATCGCTTTCATGCATACATAAAGTAAGGTGCATGAATCGCAGTGCAGCTCAATTGAACAGAGCGAGTGTTCGGACTGTGAAATCTAGTGCGTAGTTAAGTGATAATGATGATCAATCATCATACTTATAAGTTATCAATGATCGCTCGTTCAGTAAAGTACTGTGGAAGCCACAGTGCAAAAAGTGGACCAGTGACGTAATAAACATTGGCATTATTTTTAACCTTTATGAAACTTCTGCCACGCGTATACGACCTACCTGAGTATTTATATGCCTGTTCTCCCAAACCACTTAACGCAAACGAGCCACCTCATCAAGCGCACACTCACCTCGAACTTGCTCGTCACTGGGTTCATATCCAGCAGGGAGTACGACGCCACGCGATCGCCGTTGCCGTCGATTATCACCTCGCCCGTTATACCTGTGCAAAAAATTAAGGTTAATACTTAGGCTGTTTTACATTTGAGCAAGGTATTGAACCCTACCCTTTCAGTTTAAATTATCTTATGTAACAACATCTGAAATAGTTATAAACCTAGGGTGGAAGACGCTGGCAGCTGTGACACAGTGTATACTAGTAGAGCTGTCAACGCTAACCTCATTGAAATGAATGTTGTTCAAGCTCTTTATCTACTTAGTTAAGAGATTATTGCAAACAGGAGTGTATAATAAATTACTATTATATTATATTATTATTCTATTCTATTTGTAGGTACCATTATAATGAATAGAGCTAAATCTAATTTAAAGAAAAACCTTGAAGTGCCATAGCTTCCTTCACAAGTCTAACCCTGGGGTGGACATAATTTTAACTGTATTAGGCCCGATTCGCCTAAACTTTTATCCGAGAATAACTCCTGGTATAACTGGCACATTGACAGTTTCAGTATGGTAAATTATATCAAAACTGACGATTTATTCTGAGATTAAATTTACTCTTGTTTGGTCGAATCCACCCTTAAACGTAAAAATTCTGATAAACTCCGTACAAAAACATCGGGTAAAGTTACAGTTAAGGTTTAAGTTAAGGTGATGCAACGAAGCCGTGTGGTGACGGCAGAGTAGAATACATTTGTCACCAACCCCTACTCTTCCCGCGGGTGTCGTAAGAGGCGACTTAGGGACTACACATCAAACAGAGAATGGGCAGCAGCGCTCTCTGAAAAACATCAATCTTTTAAACTGCGATCTCCAACCCGCCTGCCAAGCGTGGAGATTATGGCAAAACCCTCCACTATAGTGGAGGAGGCTCATAGTCCAGCAGTGGACTGTAAAGGGCTGTTGATGATGATGATGATGCAACTCAGCCATAATTTTCTTTTGCTCTAACTTGTACCTATTAAGTACCTAATCCTTGTCCTTACTAATTATGCTTCGCCACGTTTCTTAAGTGAGGTACAAAAAAGCAGGTGCTATGACTTTATCGAATCGAAATCTATAAGAATGTTACATTACACCTGCTCGATAGACGGACGACCCATTTAATGAATTGGGAACGATTCACTTGAGAGGTCTATGTTCAATTTCGGGTCAAATAATTTAGGTATATCAGCCATTAGTAGTCCCTTTTACAGATACTATAAACCTTCACGTTTATGTTTCATTCATCAGTATTCATTAAAGGTGCTCATTTACTGGGAGCACTCACGTGTAATGAAACTACGGATTATTAAATTTTGAGGTTTACATCAAAATGTTTTGCTTTAAATTGAATCAAATTACTGCTAAGGATGTTTTGAAGATTATTACTGTGGCTATGACTACGCATTGATAACCAAGGCTGTGCCCAAGGGTTAATAAACCTTTTAATCTGCCAAAATCGAATAGATTTGATTAGTTTTAGCATAATGCTACATTCGGGACTTTAACTTCAATTTGGGGATTTAGTCTATCTAGTTCTTCCAGTAACGTAATAGAATTACTGCTGTAATAAATTTGGATTAGGCCCAAAGGAAGGCTCAACTGAAATGAGCTTTCCAAAGGAGTATGAGATTGCCAACGATACAATTATCATGAATGTAGATGTCAACGTGAAATTGTGAACTCTGTCAGTTTATAATATAACGCGTTAGATTGTAAACTAACAGTGGATTTTAAACGATCATTGCAAACGTTGTGATAGGGAGATAGAGACATGCGATTTTTGGTTTTACAAAGATAATACGATAGAGAATATTACAAAGTAATAAAAACCACCTGTTATAGGGGCATTTTTTGGAGAAATTTATCAAATAGCCAAAAAAACACGAATTTAAAAGCAGATTTTTTTCAAAAAGTATCATTTTTTATTATTTCTTGGCCTTCGTTGTGTATTTTTTTAGTATTGCCTGTTATTTAGCATTATTACTGTTTTTATTTTATCAGGATATACCGCTTAGTTTAAAAGTTATTACCTTTTCTTTTGTTAGNCTTTACAATAAGTAATTGGAATAAAAAAAAATCTATAAAAATTTTTAAAAAATCTCAAAAATTTTTTGACCTCTTTCTTGTCGATAAAAATAGGTCTAGTTTCATCTATTTTCATATGTACACTTTAACGTGACTCACACTGTATAACAGAAAAAGGGGAGAACTGTGTAACACTGTCCAAAATGTATAATTGGCTGCTGTAGCTGAGACCGTAGCGTGGTTTCCCTTCCCAGAAACGAAATATAACATTTTTAACGCACTTAACCTATGAGTCATGAGATTATTAACGAAAGAAATTCTAGTAATACAAGATCTAGTAAATCTACCGTTACATTATTCAGACTATTAACTAAAGTAGAAAAATAAACTCCAAAATTGGCAGCTATTGTAGAACAAGAAATAAATGAGACAGAACATTTTGCATAAGCATCACGACTTCTTAACACTAGTAATAAGACTGTCTGGACCTTTTTTTAAAAGAAGCTACATAAAAAATGGCAACACTACGAGCGGGGTGACAAGTTACAATTTAAATAAGCGACAGGCAAAAGAAAATTCATTTGTTTTCAGTTACATAATGAGTTTTAAAGACTGTTTGACTTGTCCCAAATAGCTTTTTTAGGGTTCCGTAGCCAAAATGGCAAAAACGGAACCCTTATAGTTTCGTCATGTCCGTCTGTCCGTCTGTCCGTCTGTCCGTCTGTCCGTCTGTCCGTCTGTCCGTCTGTCCGTCTGTCACAGCCGATTTACTCGGAAACTATAAGTACTACAGTGATGAAATTTGATGGGAATATGTGTTGTATGAACCGCTACAAAATTATGACACTAAATAGTAAAAAAAAGAATTGGGGGTGGGGCCCCCCATACATGTAACTGAGGGATGAAAATTTTTTTTCGATGTACATACCCGTGTGGGGTATCAATGGAAAGGTCTTTTAAAATGATATAAAGTTTTCTAAAAAACATTTTTCTTAAAGTGAACGGTTTTTGAGATATCAGCTCTCAAAGTCGTAAAAAGTATGTCCCCCCCCTCTATTTTTATAACTACGGGGTATAAAATTCTAAAAAAAATAGAGGTGATGCATGCTAATTAACTCTTTCAACGATTTTTGGTTTGATCAAAGTATCTCTTATAGTTTTTGAGATAGGTTGATTAAATTGACATAATAAGTTTATTATATTTGCTGCTACGGAACCTTTTGTGTGCGAGCCCGACTCGCACTTGGCCGGTTTTTTAAAATGTAATCCTACTACTGCTACGGGACAATTCTGTGGGCTATGGTTAAAATGAAACCTACTCACTATTGTCACCTTCTTTTTCAATAACTTCATGCCTAGGTATGAGGTGGGCATTTTTAAATCCACATCTTAGGTTATTTTACTTTGGTACATAATGCTTGTTGTTTTAATTACGTACACAAATAACACCATTTTACCACTACGCTATTACGCCAAAGTATCAAGAACAATAATTATGATGTTTCCTGCATGTATAGCAGTTACAGGTAGGCATATTCGAATGCCTACACCAGTATTATAGGAGAATACTCTGTCACAACGTTTGCAGTTATAGGACTTACTTTGTAACAAAAACGTACAATATTAACTAAGTCAACAGTCAAGAGTAGCCATGGCCTAAGTTCAAAGTCAAATGCCTCATTATTTCGGAATTCATGGCAAGAAGTTGCAGACGACACGCCGTTTCAAGGATAAATAGCTGTTTTGAAACAATTAACTTTGAAATGCGCGGGGACGTTGTCTTTAAAATTGCTACTGCAAATAAGAGCATATTTGTCTTCTAAATTGTTTTATAGAAGACAATGTTGTTGGAAAACAGGCAATAACGTACAAGAGGCAATGTAAATTGCCGTGATATTTTCAATTTTCAAATGTCTTTCATCATGTGTCGTAAAAGGCTATGGAAATTCTTTCAGCACGGTTCCGTGCCTCAATCGAAAAACAAACCTTTTTGTGATCTTTTTCCGTATTTTTAAATAAAACGAACTTAACCACGAGTAGTCTCATATTAAGTAAAGTGAAATGACAAAAAAAGATTTAAATTTTCCATAACAAACACTTCAAGAAGTGTTCAGAAAGAATGCTGAATTATAGATGCTATTTACAACAAGAAGTATAGTCCAGATGTTGGTAATCGCTGTACTTACTTGTATCAAACATCAAAAAAATAGTTTGTCTGAAATCTCAGAAGTTTTATTTTAAAGTTACAGTGTGTTGCCTACTTGTATCTTCAGATATACAAAACACTTTTCAATTCCACTTTCCCCACAAAATTAAACCCCTTAAAATTAAAGCACATAATAGCCTTACCTTGAAAGGTTCTATTCCACATGTTTTTTATGACCGCAGCGCCGTCCAAAGGGCCCGAAGTGCTGTTAGCCTGCTGCAAAGTGTCGTTCAGAGCAAGGGCGTACAGGAGTACAGCGTCGTAGAACGCGGCCACGAAGGTCGAAACCACTTCCCCTTTGCCGAACGTGTAGTTGTATTTTGTTGCTGCAAGCTGTTTCACCTGAGAAAAAAAAGAAAATAAGTAATGACACTAGGATTTGTTTTTAACCTATTATTTATTTGCCTTAAATAGGTGGTTACAGAGTAGTTCTTATTTGATATAATGTTACTTAAGACCTATTTAGTCATAGACATGCAAATATACAGAATGGTTACAGCGTTAATTTTTAAGAACATTAATTTAAAAGTTTAAGTGAAATCCATTTTTCATTTTGAATTTGTGAGCCAATGATAGCCGCCCTGCATTCATAATCCAGTAAGATAGATAAAAAGGTAATTGCTTTAACTCATTATGTAAGTGCTCGTAGTTATAACATGCCTATTTGTAATCTGAAACTAGAATGCTGGGAAAATCAAATAAGACTTCACAATTATCAATACAAATGATCATAAAATCGTATTTTATGTTTGATGTTGATGTTCATTTGTGACTAAGTGACGTTTTTCCCATAATAATTATACTCACCCACTTGCATTAGATAGTTGTAAGTTGCAAGAATCATCATCGTAGAGTTAAATAGGTACTTTTAAATTGTGATTACCTATTATGTGACTTTATTGGTAAATTATTAGGTACGCTAATGAACGATTACATACCGACATTGGACATGTTTCGTTTTTCTACCTTCCTTTTCTTGCCCAAAGATTTGTGTAGTGGCTCGTGGGGACTAAATGACTACATGTAAATAACGTGCTTCACGGCTTATTAGTTATTGATACACGATATAAGAGATAAATCGCGATATTATTAACAATAATTATTCACATTATTCGAGACGAGGAAAAGTATCGAGAGAAATGAGCGCGAGAAAAGACAAAAGAATGTCGATATTGGTTGTCGAGAAAAATTATGGCTACATTTTCTTGGTGGCCAGTGTTGCGCGGCCAAGGAGGTGATCGTGTGTGACCGCAACAATTTGTTTTGTCTTTTGTTATTTTTTCGTACATAAATTACACAACTTAGGCTGAGTTGCACCACCTAACTTTGACCGTAACTTTGACGATAACCGGTGTTTTTGTATGGATTTTGACAGATTTTTGACGTTTGTCAAAGTTAAAGTAAGATGGTGCAACCCAGCCTTAAAGTTAAGATCGACTGGAAAAGAATAACATTTTCTGGTATTTTACCTTTTTTATATTTTTATGCAATAGATGAAGCTTTTCATACCTCGCCTAGAGCGTGGAGGCCAAATCATCCTATTTGCTCTTAAAATTATAAAAGCTTTTTATAATGCCTAACAAGGAAGGTATTAGACCGCAATAAGTGGTACATTATCAGCCCTGTAAGTGCCTATTCACTCTCGCCTTGTAAAGGCCCGGATTACGAGTATAGTATTCGAGTGGAGACTAATGATGATGATGATGATGAAAGTTTTTTCATAAAACATAATTTTATTGTTGTACCTGATCAGAAAACTCCAAATACTCCTTCTTCTCAGGTGCAGGACTGGTGACAGTGAGAACAGAGCTATACGCCCGTCTTGCTCTTTCATTCCGCTCGTCCGTGTCATTGGCCACCTTCCAAGGCTCCTTGGACGATGCTGATGCTAAACTGTGGAAGAAAAAATAATTGTTAATACTTATTAATTAAATTATTCCTTTAGAATACCTAAAGTAAGGACATTAATGTAGTAGCATCAAGTTAAACACAGTAGCATCTTATCTACGTTGAAATAGCCGCGATTTTGCAAGAAAACTTTATTATTAATCTTAATAAAATCACCTCAAATAAGTATTAATACCAGCAACAGTTGTATTAAAAGTAGAATGTAAAAAGAAAAAACAAATGACAGTCGAAAAAGAACAATAATAGAAAAAAAAGTTTCTCGCCGGCCAGGCGCGCAGGCAAGGAGTTTGACCGTAATATGTTCTGAGCTATTTAACCTTTAACTGGTGACATGGTTTTTGTGTAACGTAACTGGTGACGTGCGGTCTGAGAGGCCGCTACCGTATCAAGACTGTAGCATAGAAACTAGGTAAGGTAGCATACCACAATCTTTAAAAACAGATTATTAGCATATAGAAGAATTAAATTTAAATAAAATAATAAACTCTAAATATAATTTTTAATGCAGACCTTGCTGTTAAATTATATGTAGTAATAAAAATCAAAAAACTAGAGATGAGATCGATAATCGCAAATAAGAAATTTAAATCAACAAATTATAACAAAATTAGTATTTTTTATTATAGTTCCAATGATAATCAATTTAAAAAAACCTATCACACATAGGTAACCTATAATCTTAGAAAACTGGCAGTGGTGAAACTTTTGTATTTTTTATTGGCTGTCAGGACATTTATTGTTTGGCATAAGAGTGGTCGGTCATTTTCACTTTCTGACTGATTCTCGTCAATTGGTCCTTCATCTTCAAAAACACTTTCTTCGGCTTCCGAATCATGGTCACTTTGCTCCAGAACGATGTTTTCAGGAACATATTCGGATTCCGACCCAATTGAGTCTTCCTTTTCCGGATATTTTTCAACTGGCGAATTTTCAAGTCGTTTCATAAAGTATGGCACTATATTCCCAACTAATGATCCTGCGCTTCTTTTTTGGAGTTATTTAAGTATCAATTTCAAGTAAAAACTGTAAAAATACGAAAAAACTGTATGAAAAAAATGTCACGTAACTGGTGACATGCGGTCTGAGAGACCGCTGCTGAACTTTGCATCGATGTAACTTGCCGATTTGGAGCTGAATGATGCAAATATCCTTATCTACGGCGTAGACACAACTAAACTTGAAGCTACTGAAGCGGTGAAACATTGGAAGTACGGGGAAGGGGGTGAAACGATGTTTCACTGACGCCGCCCGGCCTGTGAGACCGCTTGTCACCAGTTAAAGGTTAAAAAAAATATTTAAGTAAATACAAAATAATTACTAATGGTCCCATAAGCCCCTCGTGGTTAGCTAAAGATGCTTGTATTACGAGTGGGTTCACCACCATAATCCAGTGCAACGGTGCGGCAGGGTGCGAACCCGCGTTTGTCTACGCAACTGTCTAAATATACCTACATAACTCAAAGGTGACTGAATGACTGACTGACATTCAATCGGACGGATCCGGCTGAAATTTGGCATGCAGGTAGATGTTATGACGTAGGCATCCGCTATGAAAGGATTTTACGAAACTCCACCCCTTATGGGGTAAAACGGGATCCACGCGTACGAAGTCGCGGGAAGCCGCTAGTCAACAGATAAGACAGTAAGAAAGCAGGACCTTACTGTAAAACTCAATCGGAAACCTGTATCTACTCATCTCATTTCCTTTCCATATTTCTGCGGATAATCCCTAGTAAATGGGGTGAAGTTACAACATAACCCGACATTAAACTTAATGGGATCACCTCAAATATTATTATATTCAGGACTCTAAGCAGTCATTAATATGTCTCGTATGACCCGATAACGCGTTGGTAAGCTGATAAGGTCCACATTTACCGTGAACAAAAACGGTTATTTGGTCAACTTAGTTTTGTTAACACACAGAGCACGAGATCCTTAAAAAGTTTGATAGCGAAATTAAAGTTTTAATTTTATTTTTTAACGTTAATTTCCCAAAAAAAAGTCTAATAAAAATAATAAGATTCTATATTGTTATTAGTAAAGACCCGTAATTTTATTATCATCTGTTCATCACTAATGCTCAGTTACTCTTATGATTCAGTAAAATTATAGGTTATTAAAATGGTTAATTAACAACTATTAATTATTATTCATTTAAAGGTATACCTACAGTGTAATTGATTTGCGGTATTAATTATTATGTAGAGTGAATATTTTCCGACAGTAATTTATGGTTGTGTGGTTTAATTAAATAAAGCTATTAAAATCAGTATTGACAGTTTGAACTAAAGTTAATATTATTTTATGTTGAAAGGGTATAATAGATAATTTTGTAATTTTCTGTATAGGATATAGTCTAATGTTCATTAGATGTGATGATAAAATTATGCGAATACAATTAAATTGATGGGAGAAATAGGTGGGAGTGGTCCCATTCTACACACTAAGCCAGCCATCGGGGAGCTGGTTCCAATCCATGACGCCTCATTCTATGATGTGTTCGAAAACCGTCCAAAATGTATAATAAAAATGATCGCTATGCAAGCAAACTCTATTTATTTGCCCCTTCTGTTGTGGGTGTATAACTTGCCGTGGTCAGTGAGGTGTTAAGAATAAGGGTCCTTCATCACCGAGACCTTTTATAGCCAAACTTTCGACAGAGGCGCATTCCAGAGTGTTTCCTTTGTGAAATATCTTTAACGCCCAATTTGCCGCCACAAGTTTAAGACAAATTGGCCCCAAACTTCCAAAGAAACAATTACGGGCAATTTAATCTATTGCTTATCGTTTTCTTCTTCTTTAGTGTGGGTTGTAACAGCTGACGTCACTCCGCTGTCAAACTTTGAACACTTTGGTGGACATTAGGTATAATTTTAAGAATTTCTTCCCAAATGACACTAACGCCCGTATTCACAAACGATGCTTGCTTAAGTGAAGCAGCAAATCGGACGCACAGCGCGATTGGTTCGTGTGTCACCCTGTGCGGCCACGCGTACTATGAGACCTCATAGTAATGTTTTTTAATACGGGCGTAAGGTACTTAATCACATACCCATGGGCGTAGTGTCAATGTAAAACGAGTAAAAACTTATAGCGTTCTGTCGTATCATTCTTTACTACCTGAACGCCCGTGGACGTTACTGCCCATAAATGTGTTAAGCTGACATTACCTGACCAATCTTATAATTTACCCACATTTCATTTTAACCTTTTGGTATACTTATTACTGTTACCTCAGGATTCTTCAGTTACTCCGTAAAACAGAATTGAGTAAACACGATAAAAAAAGGTCAATAAGGAATACCCTAAGGTGATAGGGCAGCGCAGGACCGTTCATTGTGGAAAACCTTGGGGGAGGCCTTTGTCCAGCAGCGGACGTCATCTGGCTGAAACGAACGAACGAACGAAGGTGATAAGACCTCACATCACACGGGTTTCTAGGGATCTTCAGCGAAATGTACCAGGTAACCGATTTCCTACATGAAATGAAAACTCATTCATGAACACTCAAAAAAAATTTTTTTTAAGGCAGTCCTTCCAAGTACTTTACGGTACTTTCTGACTTCATTTCACAATTTTAGCCAACTTGACGTTACCTATTTTGAAACGGGACTATTCCTACTTCTCGTTCCCACCGCTGAAACTCCTGTGTAGCCAGGATCTACAGCTTGACCACCAATAAAAACCCAACTAGTGAAGGTCAAGTTTGTCCCGCGGAGGAAGGTTAAACTGTAATTGGCCCCGCAACGAAACCTATTTTGAAAGTGGCAAGTAAAAAAGTTATGGAACCTTTGTTTTAAATAGACAAAAACATATTTAGTCCAGTAGAATTAAACACAAAAATGAATTAAATCGGAATTAATTCCTACTAAAGATTTTAGTGCTTTAATGGCTTCATTAGTTGCCCATAAAGACTCTCCTAGGTTTTCGACTTCGACGGAGTTGTGCTTAAGTGGTGGGGGCCCCCGAAAGGGGCGTTTTTCGGTTTTCCGGTTATACCGCGTAAAGGACTTACCCTATCGAAAAGTGGTCTTCCTGACGGTCGAAGGGCATTTAATCCTGCATTAGATAAGACCAAATTCATATGTTTTGAACAAACCGTTCTCGTGCAAATGTTCGGCAAAGTAGAAAAATGGCTCGTTACCCGCAGGCTTCCAAGTCTTGAAAAGGAGCGCCTTAACCAGTGTAACCCTATCAAGGCTTACGAACTGGATGCGCCTATTCTTGTTCATCCCAGCCGTTCCTTAACTGCGGTTGCTGCACCTCTTCCTGGCACTCACCTGAACGACTCTGTGTTACCTACTGTGACTACCCCTCTTCCTTGTATCCTCCTGGACGACTACGTTGCCTAGCCGTATGCCTGGTCTAAGGTTCGACGCCAAAAATCAACAACAACAAGTTCATATTAAAACGCTGAAGAGTTTTTTGTTTGTTTGTTTGAACGCGCTAATCTCAAGAATTACTAGTTTGATTAAAATAATTATTTTTGTGTTGAATAGCTCATAAATTGAAGAAGGCTATCGGATATATACAATCACTCTACGACTAATAGAGGCGAAGCAGTAAGGAAAAATGTTGCAAGCACGGAAAATAGTATTTAAACTATTTTCACGCGTACGAAGTTGATTTTGTGGCGTCGAACCTTGGACCAGGCATATGGCTAAGCAATGCAATCGTACAGGAGGGTACAAGAAAGAGGGACAGCCACATTAGGTAACACAAAGTCGTTCAGGAGAGTGCCAGGAAGAGGTGCAGCAACCGCAGTTAAGGAACGGCTGGGACGAAAAAGGATAAGCGAATCCAACTCGTGAGCCTTGACAGGGATACGCTGGTTAAGGCGACCCTTTACAAGACTTGGGAGCCTACGGGTGACGAGCTATTGGACGTGGAGAGGGTAATTAATTATACACATATTTTCTACTTTGCCGAACATTTGCACGAGAACGGTTTGTCCAAAACATATGAATTTGGCCTTATTTGATGCAGGATTAAATGCCCTTCAACCGTCAGGAAGACTACTTTTCGATAGGGTAAGTCCTTTACGCGGTATAACCGGACAACCTAAAAAGCGCCCCTTTCGGGGGCCCCCACCCCTTAAGCACAACTCCGTCGAAGTCGAAAATCTAGGAGAGTCTTAATGGGCAACCAATGAAGCCATTAAAGCAATAAAATCTTTTGTCGGAATTATTTCCGATTTAAAATCTAATTCTACTGGCCTAATTCTGTCAGGATATTACAAAGTCCATATTGTTGGCAAACAAATATTATGTGAAGCCTATTTACTAAAAATAATAAAAATATGCCATCAGATTGAAAATACATAAAGCTTTCCGAAGACACAAGACATAATAGAGCTTAATTCTAATAAGCATTGAGTTATACTTTCAGTTTCAGCTTCATTATCCCGGTTACGGATCCCCATATCATTTGCAAACACTCCGAATTCTCCTGAAACTTCCCGGGAATTAATATTCGTCCCTTATAACGGGAACTTACGTTCCATTTAACTTGAAATGCGTTTCTCATTAAATACAGATAATGTGGCTAGACCAGTGGTTCCCAAAGTTGTTTGGGCTACGACTCATTTCATACAAGTTTCCAAACTCGGGACCCACCTATAGGAAATTTAATCGTTACCAATATACCTAAATAAAGGACTTTTCAAATAACAAACAAAGATTAAGTACAATTGTCGCCCGCTGCCCAGCGGTTGGATCGGTAGGGTGCATGGTGTGTCGTTCTACAGGCAGGGCCCACTCAATGTTCGCTCGTGACCCACCACAGGGTCGCGACCCATAGTTTGGGAAACCCTGGGCTAGACCGTTAAGGGCTCTGAACTTGGGGAAGAGAGATGGACAACGTAGGTCCTTTTCGTGTACCTAATGTTCTAGGCTTATCAAATTAGAACTCACCAGCCCTTTTGATGAAGAAACATTAATCAGAACCTTCGCTTACAGCTGAACATACACGGTCAGTTAATCTGGTCCCACCAAAAACATTTTAATGTAAAATGTTGCCAAGATAAGACCATAATGACTTGCACTGTGCAGGTTCTAATGTGAAAAAGTTATCAGATGTTATGTAACGCCAAGCTTAATATCTACACTAAGGCCCAGATTACACCGAAGCGGAGCGGAGCAGAGAAGTGTATTGAATAACCAGATTTCATTATTTCCACTTCTCTTCTCCGCTTTGCACAGCTCCGCTTCGCGCCGCGCCGCCACCGCTGTCAAATTCTATAGAAAATTTGACAGCGACACTTCAGCTCTGCTCCTCTCCGCTTTGTTCCGCTTTGCCTTAGTGAAAACCGGGCCTAACTTCAACTGCACGTTAATTAAAATTACTATAATATGACCTAGCCGTTTCGCTATCGCTGCACAGGTGAAAGGTGAACATTTTATTTACTATTCATTGCTAAACTTTTTCTGTTATACATTAGTTCTTGTAATGACGGAAGGCGCCTCTTATTTTAAATGGCCAAGCCACAAATTTTGACTAAGGTAGAGTTTATGAAGTTAGGGTGTATAGATTTAGAAGCTTGGCTCTATTTATTTATTTATTTAAACACTTTATTGCACACACTAAAAAGCAGTACAAAAAGGCGAACTTAATGCTCTACATGAGATCTCACATCCTAATAAGTAGAAGGATTCTACTGACTCTAAGTCCACTGTTCTCTCTTGCCAGTACCTAACTAAAACCGATGGCACAGCGCGGCAGCGGTGCCCTAATGTGGGCCGAAGTGCGAATTTGTCAGACCCTTGGAACGCTATCTAATACCATTTGTTGCTGTTAAGCGTTCCACGTGCTAAGTCTACTTAATGACCTTTTAGGAGCAAGTACACCACTATTTTTCAGGTACGCTGTATACGCGATGTTAGCTTCACGAGCTCCACCAATGTAACTAATAATAAATTGTAATAATGTTTAAGAACTTCCTTTTTAAAATGATAATAAAAGAAAAAAAACTAGAAAAGTAATAAATTCTCCTTTCAAATCTAGCAGCACCGCAAACGCGCGATCGTAGAATGAGCGTCGACGGTGCCTGAAAAAACGTGGTGTGCATGGATCCTAAGGGTCTTGTATGTTTTAATAGTTGTTTGACTGACAGGAACCTGGCGACAAGGAGTGACTAAATTAATGTTTCTGATATTTTTATTTTTTATTTTATAACCTTAGCTTATATTGATTTCGATAATGTATCTATTCATGGAGAGCCAAATGGGCCTCTGCTAAGCTAGCAGAGGATGATAATCTTGCGTGGAGACTAAAATATGATCTTATCTTGAAATGCCCTGAGGACGATGATGATTATGTACTCACTTTGAAAACAGCTCAATGTTGAAGAACACGTACTCCCCCGAAGACACCATGTTGAGATCATCAGCCGCCAGCATTATCTCCCTGACTGTACTTGGATTGGCGCACACCACCACAACTGCAACAAATTATACCATTAGCACAGAAAAAACTTTATTTTTAGCAGATACCAACAAAAAACGGACAAAAAAGCAGGACAAAAATAACTCTTTGATTTTGTAAAACCACCTTGATTTTCCCATCCTACTTGCATGGGTATGCAAGTGGGTACTTACATCACGATCTGGTGTACGTATGACCCTTAATAAGACAAATGAAACTAAGTCAAAAAGTTTATGTATTTTATTAAAACATTATTAATGCAATCTGAAAACATCCTGACAAAATTCGCCCTGAAAATCACAAAATAACGTTTTTTATCTAAGTATTATATATTTTCACATCCTAAAACCTATTTCACTCCTAGTTAACAGAATTCTCTCTCAAAAGTCCTTGCTTCCAGGTTAGGGCCCCATGAGATTTTCCTTTGTAAATACTTTAGTCGACATAATATTAAACAGAATAAAACTAAATTGTTTATCATTGAAAATGTAATTGCTTAGTATACAGCTAATATACATCAGATTATACAGGGTGTTTGGCGGAAGGTTAGACAAACTTCGTGGGTATTACTAGTTGTAGTTTGGCTACAAACAAAATAGTACCTACTCATTTATAGTTTATATTAAACAGTTTATCTTGACGAGATGTCATCTGTACAAAAACAGGACCCGAAACATAATCTGTACCCTCCTCAGAGTGATGGGCCCGTGTGGGGCAATTTGCCGTACATTCGCCTGAAGAAGTTTTACCCGAAAATAATTTTACCCCAAACATTTATTTTATTGATTTCTTTCCCTTTTGTCTTTATTACTTTATTACACTTTGTCTGTGAAATTTTGTTATTTATAACCATAGTTTGAGAGTTAGTGACCCGCCTTATTCTGATATTTTAGTAAGAAAAAAGATATAATAACGTCCAGTCAATTAATGCTTACTTTACCATCACAATAAGATAATCTTAAAATTTACAAACAGTCTACAAGAACATTTCAAAATCAGTAAAACAACGACCAAATTTAAAAAAAAACCACACCGAGGACATGCAATTCAAATATGTAAAAGAAACAAAATCTATTTTCGGAACAAAAAGTATTTTAAAAGGAAATGTAACTCACAAGGCTACAATGTTTGTTTCAGAGCCGAAATTGAAAATCAATTTTCTTCTTCTTGTCGTGTCGACAACAAACCTACACAGTGTCAGCCCAAAACCACCAAAACTCCGCTACAAAAGTGGCGTTTGTCATCAGCACTCATCAAATCCTCCTGAGTGCAGAATCAATTTTGTTTTTGCTTTATAATTTAAAAATACTGTCTCTTCCGTGGTTGTACCTAAAGCGGAGTCTATTAATTAATAACCATCTCTTTCCATTAATTATGGCACTGTTTTGAAAGAGACGGGTCAATTTCCCAAACACATTTTTTGAGCGGCGTAGCTGAAAATCATATGTTTTTTATGACATAGAACTTTGATTTTTTTTTACACGAAAATATACAGAGGTTCCATTTTGAGGACAACATTATTAATGAGTATTTTCTTTTACAAATTCGACAAAAAATTATTGAACTAAGCGTTTCTAATTTTGGTGCAGTGTCCACATCCTTAATTTCTTACAATATGTATTTTTTTAGCTGAAGATCAAAACAGAACTTAGGGAAAAAGTATATTTTTGGATTATACAATCTATCTATTATCTAAGATTACCAAATTAAGCAAGTTTCCCAAATAACTGTGATTAAGAGGACTAATCAACTAAAAAGCATGAAAAAAAATAATTTTAACAAAAAAATTAAAACCGACGCCAACAATCACTTAAAAGTAGAAAATAAGTACGTCGTTATTTATTTATTAGGACAATATACCATGATTAATATTTTTGGAGTCGGTGCTGGTAAATTTAAAACCATTTCTTGAGCTTGGCACTAAGATATGACCGACTGACAGCATATTTTCTAATTTTGGTGCTTTAATATAAATTTTGGTGTTCTCTTAATTTTGGTGTAAGGAAAATCTAAAAAACTACTGGACAAAATTTAATGTCTTAATCATTTTAGAAACAGTATAAGTTTCCAATAAATTTGATCTATAATTAAAGAATAAAAATACACAAATAACAATTTCCACCAAAATTAGGCAAAAATATGCACTTGTTGAAATTCACCCAGACAAGGTATAAACGAAAGAGGATAGTGACTACCTATAGCATATTATATGTCTGGAAGCCGACATTCAGCACGATCTTGTTAGTCCATTATTCGCTACGTTCGTCGATCGAGAGATTTAGGCTCGGACTACATGTTCAAAATGGGTAATCTCTTATGTGTTAAAATTCATTTTATTTTTGCAAGTATGCTTTTTAAAAAGCGTACTCGCTTTTTACTCTCTCTACTACTCTATTCTCGCTTTATACGGCTTTTTATTAAATGTGTATACAGGTACAGTGGCATTTAATTTTGTGTATCTAAGAAGGCAAGTAGGGGTATTTAGTTAGGAGAGAGAGAACCTTTATGATTAAACATTTTTGTTGAATCAGGTACCCTTTTAAAAATTAATAAGCGAGCGTGAAATTTTTTTTTCAAAAAACCAAAATAATACACTGTAACTGTAACACCAAAAAAACAAATCTTATCAACAAGAAATCTTACCAACCGGGCAACATGGAAAGCATTGGGGGAGGCCTATGTTCAGCAGTGGACGTCCTATGGCTGAGATGATGATGATAATCAACAAGAAAAAAACTTCCTCTAAACTAGATCAATACGGGTCACCTCATTATATAACATGCACTTTAATCCAAAGCTGATACGTCACTCCAGCTCGATAGAAGGCGCATTAAAATTCATATCTTCCATGTAGACCAAAGTGTTGCATAAGTTAGTGCTTACGTCATCTTTTAGCAGATACTGTGCAGAAACTATGGAGTGGTCGGAAAATGGCTAATCATTCACTTTTAGATAAGAAAGAATGTACTAGAAAGTATGTTTGTAAAATCATCGTCATTGGGTCATTTATTTCCTCTCGACTTTACCAGAGGAATGGGGGTTAGCCTGCACTTCCCATGTTAGCCAGACACCTGATTTTCTCAAATCTGTTCCTTGTTTATTTGCCTTCTATCGCATAATTTTGTACATAGGGATAGTGGGGTTAGTGGGGTGGTCCTATTCTACCTATTAAGAAAAACTAAGATTATATTAAATCGTAATTAGTCATACAATTTACCATATTATTCATTTGTAATTTAGATGTAATGCGTATATTTACATCAGCTCTATAGCAATTTACAATGTGCAGGAATTTAACTATAAATCGATTAGAAGGCGTTTGATTTGAAATGTTGTCAATTATGAATGAATAAACTATTATGCAAAATTGTAAGTAGGTACGAGTAGGTATACTGAATTAGTTATAAGTACACTAAAAATAGACTTAAAGTTATTTCTGAATGTGGTTTTCGAACTCAAGCTATAAAATTCATAGCCTTCCATCTATCATAAAGGCGTTGCATAACATATTGATTACGTCATCCATCTTGCATAATATACGTTTTGTGCAGGAACTGCACTTCAACAAAGGCGCCCATTCACTTGATAGTAAGAATGAATGAACTTTGAAAATGAATGAGATATTGACCGATGGTATCTTTTTAATTACATTTCATGCCCGAAAATGTAAGTCAGTTCATTGAAATTGCTTCTCGAAAACATGTTCATTAAAATTGTTGTCGTCATATTGAATAATACCGCACGGTCGAATGGTTTTACATAATTTTGTTCTTTTAAGTAGGTATTTAATATCATTTTTTTAATCGTCATATTAAATTTGTTTCGAATACCTACAGTATTATAATCAAGTTTAAAACATAAATAAATTTGATTCCTGTCCTTATCTCCCTAAATTAAATTCTTATTAGTTTGTTAATTGTAAGTTATGTTGTTGACATCAAAACTTGAGCCGGGAATCCAATTATGATCTGTATAAAGTGAAGTCTAGCACAAGAAAAGCAGTTTTTAGGAAGACGTCCAGTTATCCTAGACCCCTCATTTATATCAGTCTATGTCCAGCAGACGGCTCAGTGAGGATCTTAATTACTAATCAAAAAATATACTCCAGATTTTGAGAAGAAATAAAAATCTGCCTCCGACAAGTTTAATCTTCCCAACTTCATAAATAAAGAAAACTTAAAAATTCTATTTTGAGACTCCAAATAAGTATACGACTTTCATTTAATTCTCATGTTTAACCGATGAAATTTTTATTCTAAGAGTTTTGTCACACTGTGATGTAGTGTGTGATAAGGCTCGTGACTCGTTCCTTTATAGAGATTTTTTTAAAGATTTTTTTTTATCCACAATGAGGAAGCTCTTGGCCTGTATCTCACCTGAGCACTGTACCTTACATTAGCAATTTGTATCGCAGAAATTACTAATAGTCCCGTTAGCCCCTCGTGATAACCTAAATAAGCTTGTGTTACGAGTGGGCTCACCACAATAGTCGAGCGGCGGTGGGATTCGTACCCACGTTCCTCGGATCTCGAGTCGGCCACTCGGACCCCTTCACCGTTCGGCTATCGTGGCTACAAGTTTTAGTCTTTTTAGATAAATTAGTGGTACCTAAAAACACAATAATGTTGATGATAGTCAGACGATACCTGTATCAGAATGCCATACAACAATGTTACGAATTTTATACCTGTAGGCATCTGTATCAAAAATTGCAAACCGATTTTGTATTCCGCTTGCAACCGACGTGCAGTTCTAAACGACCGCACTGACCGCACTGACCGCAAGCTCGCTGTACAATTTCCTGTCACAGATTTATTGCATCTGCAGTACAGCCTATAATAAAGCGACTGCAGCCATCTGGCTGACAATTCATAGGTACCTACTTGGTGCAGTCAAACTACACGCTGACGGTGTACACAAGTTCTTCTGATTGAAGGTCGCCTTCACATTATGGTGCGTCCACACTGGGCGAACGGGCTCGCGCGGCAAACTCGACATCCTGCTCACTTAAGAGCAGGGTGAGCAGGATGACCAGCGTGCCGCGCGAGCCCGTTCGTCCAATGTGGGCGTCAGAAGCGCGACAGCAGCGCGGCATCAGCGGCATTTTTACAATGTGAAGGCAGGCATCCGCTGTCATATAGTATGGAATTATCGGCAGCGCGACGGTCGCGCGTTTGTCGCACTGCTAAAATTACCTAAATGTGAAATGTGCTCTAACTTCGTTGCAGGTCCAATAACAGTTTAACGTTCCCCTGGGGACAAACTTAGCCTATACTGGTTGGGTTTTTATTGGCAGTGATTCTGTACATCTACACAAGAGTTGCAGCGGTGAGAACGAGAGGTGGGATTAATACCTCCTCTAGACCTCTGTTCTGAGTTCTGAGTTGCAATATAGAAACAGTTATTCCAACGAAACTTCAATTGCAATTTTAAAAGTCGATTAAACTTCAAATACAACTTCGTACTAATTAGGTACTTTTAGATTTAAAGTCATAGCAAGACTCATAACTAAACGAGATTCTTTGTTCCCTATTCGTTTAATCTGATCTCGGATGATACATAACGTATCATCACTGCTGACTTATTGCATATTGATGACACATCAATTTGCAATAATTTACATGCATCGTTATAGCAGAACGCTGCTTCCTTTGATGTCATAGGTCCGTACCTACCTACGGTGCATATGGACATTCACATATAAAATACTAGCTGACCCGGCGAACTTTGTTCCGCCTTAATGGCAATAAATAAGCAGACTTTTTTTTAAATTTCTAACGGGATAAAAAGTATCCTATGTCCTTCTCCTGGCTCTAAACTACCTCCCTGACAATTTTCAGCTAAATCGGTTCAGCCGTTCTTGAGTTATAAGTGGAGTAACTAACACGACTTTCTTTTATATATATAGATAGAAGAAGATCTTTTGTTTGTCACCATCATCATCATCAGTCTCTGCTCCAAGTCGATTAAATGAACTGATGATGCTCAGATAATCAGTGTTGTTGAATTAGTAATTGATGATGAAATTATGCCACATTAAGCAAAACATTTTATGTATGAATTTAAGCTAAAAAAGACTCGCTGGTCTGAAGGAGGGGATTTAAGTTTCTATTATACAAATAGCTCTTTTATAGGCCCAAGTGCGGATATTACTATTCTCCTTAGAATAAAGACCCCATGTCGAGACCGTAGCATTCAATAAGGGATAAGTTACCACTGCGACGCGGTTTCAAACTTCCCCGTTCATAATAAAGGCGTCGATCCACTTGCCATGAATGAATGAACGACTGAACGGCTGAATGTTAATGAGGTCAGTGAATGGCGAAACGGTTCAGTGTTCAGTCTTAATTAAATTACGTAGATGTGCTTTGTGATACTGACGCTGCCGCACAATTTAATAATGTACAACATTAAAGTTGGTTAATTTAGTTAAACCTACCTCTATTTTATCCAATGCGGTGTAAGTTAATTTTCTCCAGCGATCCAGTGGTTTTTGTTAATCAAATAACATTTCTGAATAGCGTTCTGTCTGAGTGACTTTTCCAGTAACTGGTAATTCCATTAATCCGTCATTAATTAAAGAACAGAAAAGAAGATTTCAACGAAAAATCTTTCTCTTACCATAATATTTATTAATCTAGGACCGTAATGTAGTCGTTTAAAGATTACAGACTCTTTTAACGGAGACCTTGAGATTTATAGATGCGTACAGTATACTCACGAGTTCACGACTGACAAAAAGCAATCAAAAACATATTACAGTGGTTAGACAGCTTTATGCAGACAGTATAAAGTTTCACACGACATTGAAATGTGTTGCGCAAGAGGGAAAAACGCGAAGATATTGGAAAACGTTCCGTTTCACGATGCCGTTTAATTTTATGGGCCTCACAATTGTGTCTGGGACGTATTTTGATGAAACGAATAATGTATCTTGATGTAAGTCTAATGCTTACTAAACGCCTTTTTATGTGAATTTCAAGCGACATGCTGAAGCATTGATTTATAATGTTATGGTCAGTTTAGATATGCATTATGGATCAGAGAGTAGGTGAAATCAGCGATGGGGGTCGAAACGAGGTCGCTTTTAATAAACATCACTAAGAATTGAAAGGAAAAATATATGAGAAAAATCAGGTATCCTCAATTCCTCATCCCGTCTGCCCAGAGCGTGAGGAGAGTAAGTTAAATTGAATTATTATTAAATAAAATTAATTAAATAAAATTCAATGGCCTAAGGTAAACTGAGAGAGAGTCGTATTGCTGCAGTAAAGAGACTAGATGACCTGATGATGATGATGAATCCTATGTGATTTAGCGGTAAATTATAAAAAAAAATAAAACCGACTCCAAAAAACCTACACTAAAAAGCAGAATAATAATTACTAATTACCTACTTATTTATTAGGACGAATTATTAATATTTATGTAGGTATACCATGATTGATACTTCTGGAGTCGGTGCCAAGATTATGAAACATGTAAAGTTTGCCTGCACCGACTCCAAAAGTATCAATCATGGTATACCTACATAAATATTAATAATTCGTCCTAATAAATAAGTAGGTAATTAGTAATTATTATTCTGCTTTTTAGTGTAGGTTTTTTGGAGTCGGTTTTATTTTTTTTTATAAAATTTAACTTATTTCTTGCTTTTTAGTTGACTAATTATTACCTTGATGTTACCACTGAAGGTAGGCAGTACATTGAGACCATATTCTTAATGTATATTATAAAAAAGTTCATCCCCAATTTTCCACCCTTGGGGGTGAAAATTTTCTTCAAATTCGCATGAAACCACCCTTTTGATAATACCTATTCAACAAAAAAATAATCGTTCAAATTGGTTCATAATCGGCGGAGATATTGCGTATAAAAAAGTTCATCCCCAATTTTCCACCCTTGGGGGTGAAATATTTTCTTCAAATTCGCATGAAACCACCCTTTTGATAATACCTATTCAACAAAATAGTAATCGTTCTAATTGGTTTATAATCGGCGGAGATATTGCGTATAAAAAAGTTCATCCCCAATTTTCCACCCTTGGGGGTTGTTTTTTTTATTATTAAATTTAAATGGGACCACCCTTGAGATATTACCTATACGCTGAAAAAAGATTTGTTCAAATCGGTTCATAATTGGCGGAGCTATCGCGTAACAAACATAGAAAAAAAAAAAAACATACGGGTCGAATTGAGAACCTCCTCCTTTTTTTGAAGTCGGTTGAAAAGAAAGAAGACTGTCAAATATTGTGAATATTGAAATCATTACAATTATCCTAGTTTGATTTAAACATCCACATGGTGGACCGATGACATCATAAAGGTGGCAGGAAGGCGCTGGACGCAGGCCGCTACCAGCCTGGCAACATGGAAAGCATTGGGGGAGGCCTATGTTCAGCAGTGGACGTCCCATGGCTGAGATGATGATGATAATGATGATGATTGCAAGTTCAACCTAAGGAACAGGCAGCTCATCAGACTATACGTCATTATTGTTGTAAAATCATGTTTAGTTTGACGTCATCTTTACAGACGAATTGTGAACCGTTCCTCTTTTGAAGTTGGTTTAACAGAAATATGATAACTTGCTTCGGTCAGTTGACACAAATACTGGCTCGTTAATAGATATCGAACAATGGACCATAATTTTTCTCTTGATCAAACTGCAATCCAAAATTCCAAATCCATAAATGTAATAATATCCCATGACTTTGTCCATCCATTGTGCCCAAAGTTAGCTATGTTAGTTGGAAATTTTTCATGGGTTAGTTAGACGTTTTTAGCTAAATACTTACTTCTAGTATTCAAAGACAATTTTTGCAAGAGCTGTTTTAGCTTCGTCGAGGTGGTGTTGGTTTCGTCGAATGGTATATTCGGGATGGTATTTTCGTTTCCCTTCTTCGTCATGACTGAGAAGATGGCGCTGAGTGTTAAGAAACAGGGGCTGTTGCCTTGCCCGGTGGACGGATCGTTGTTGTGGTAAAGCATCGCCAGGCGGCGCCAGTTGAATTCCTAGAACAAGAAATAAAAATATATATTTATTGTAATAGCAAGCCACGTGTTTAGGAGGTATCAAGGACCTACAAATTGCCTAACAACTAAACAATTTGAAAATGAAGCAGTATAACAGACTCTCATTCGTGATCAAACCTCATTCATGACAAAATTGGCAAACTATTGTTACTTTTACAAAAGCATATTATTTTTACAATATTTCGACCTTCAAAAAAGTACCTAATTTAGCTGTTCTAAAATTATGATGTACCATTGTACTTCAGACTAGATCAAACAGCAAAATATTGTAATTTGATTGCAAACACGTTTCTAAGAACTAATTTTTGAAAGTAATGAGCATAATAATAATCTGAAAGTTTTTCGGCGGAAAGTCCCAAGTGATATTTATTTATTTATTTATTTGAACACCAACAATATGCCTAATAAATGAAAACAAATCTGAGAAATATTAATAACAATTAATACTCTTTATTGCACACCAAATAACAGAACAGAAAGAAAAGAAAGAAAAAGAAATATACGATGAAAGGTTTTACTTTCCCAAAATTCATGTAAGTGAGATACTCCAGTAACAAATATCTCGCTAATTGATTATGGGTATACCATTATAAATATCGTCCTTTGAATTATTATACTATCTATCATAAGATACCCTAATATTACTTCAAACAAGGCTCCTAATCACAGTTGTTTGTAATTAAAGTTGTTAGGCGGTTATCACACTGCGCCGCGCTCCGCCGCGGAGCGCGTGATTTTTTATATGAAACGCGGACGCGTTGTCAGTGTGAAGTGCCGCGCGTGTTTTCTATACAAACTGAGGTACTTGCATACAATTATTAAATCTGTCACCCCGCGCTCCGCGGCGGAGCGCGGCGCAGTGTGATAACCGCCTTATGGTTCTGAAAATCTATACTACTCATAATAGATGATGAAAATATGCCTGTCTGTCTGTTATTTGTTTGATTGCCACACTTAAATTACTAAATTGATTTCAGTGAATGTTGTCTAATAAACTTTAAAAAGAAAATTTTAAAAAGAAAGCTGAAGGGTTTTGGCCATTGGATTAGCGACATAAATCTCTAGCGTAATATAAATATTATGAAGCTGACACCAACAAATAGGAATCATATATTATTATTTGCAGATAGAAATTTCCACAAGCAAATATCAAATATGTGAGGAATTTAGTCTGATCCAATGCCTTTGAGCGAGTAATTACTTCACCGAAGTGAACAAACACATCTTAATTTCTGGATTCTGGGAAACTCAATAAAGCTTATGAATATCAAATTATATTATAGACTACGTTAATAATAATGTCATTAAAGGGTCTGTCTCACAATAATTAGTTTGGAATTCAACTTTCGAGTTGCCAGAATGTGATGATTGGAATTTATATTATGTAATAATAGATTTGAAAACATTATTAAAGTGGCATAATGCAATGTGAAACTGACCCAAAAATGTTTGGCTGGAATCAAAAATTTTACGTAAAAATTAATTCAAACGCAACGCAACTTATAATCAGATAGAAATAAGACGGAAAATTGAAAAAAAAAAATACAAAACACAAAATCTTTTTGAAGTATTTTATTTGTATCAAATAAAGCAAAGCATTTGATTAAATAATATAAAGTAGCTCAGTGATCAAACCGAATTGATTGATGCAAATAAAATACTATCTGCTGAAAAAGCAACAAAAGAAGATAAAATTAACGAAACACAATATTATAAACATAAAAGTACACAATACATTGTTTTAATGCTACCAGATGCTCACACATAACGTTAAAACTGTAGCATTCGTGATAAAAGCCATTTTAGTACAAAAACGTAAAGGCTGATGTGCCGGTGACTGAACACTTTTATTAATGGAAAGCCTTCGGTTATCGAAGAATTCCATATCCAAATTCTATGCTAACATATATCACGCGCGCCAGTATAGGCCCCTTGGAATTTTTATTTAATTTGGCATTCGTCTTTCATTTGTATATTCACATCACGTAAGCCGAGCATTGCCAAATAGCGTTTAATATCTATTACCATTATAATAGACGAGGCTTTTTTGGAATACCAATACAATTCCTTTCCTTGTTTATCCAGAAACAGAAGCAACAATGAAAATAAAACAAAAGGTAAAAATAAAGGCTTGTTTATAAGCGGACAACATAATAAAACAAATACATAACACAAATAATAACCTCTTCCACACACAACAATTTGAATTACCTCGAATATTTTGCGGATGGCGATTCCTGCTTGAAGGTAGCTGCCCATCACTCTCGTTAAGGTGGCGTAGCTGGGGTTCTTATAAGTGAATGCTTGAGCTTGAGCTCCTGCTGTTAGTACTGGTATCCCCCATTGGCCAGCGTATCTTGCCACCGGTGCAATGACGTACTCACACCCAGGACCGATGAAGGCATCTAAAAACATCGTCATCTGAGAATTTGCTCTACCAAAATAGTTTTAATACGAATGCATAAATTTACAATTTCATAGACTTACCTGCAGATCCGTTGACATAGAATTCGAACGCAGCCAAAGGTCCTTCAACTGACGAACAGCCAGTGTCTCGATAATCTACCAGGATTTTCCAACCTGGTAAAGGTCCATCAGCCTTAGTTACCGCCTGAACAGCCATTTCCAATATGGGAAGAACTTTCACCAGAGAAAATGTTTGGTCCACATCAGCTGGTAGTAGGACACCCAATTTAACAATCTTTCTGTGAAATTCATGCCTTTCTGGTCTAAGGTTAAAGTTTGTCTTTTTCACGTAGTAAGGTTTCGATGCGAGATCATGGGGATATCCTACCGCTAGTTCATCGTCATATTTATATTTTCTTACAGGAAAATTCTGTGGCTTTTCAGTTGCATTGATTATGTCTTCTTTATTTCTATAGTAGTCGTATAAATACTTATTGAGTTCTGGGGCTTCAGGAACCGTGTATTTATCTGCCTTATCATCTTCATCTTCCCTTTGTGAAGCCCTACCCTTACGGTAGTTCTTACCATGCCACGTTCTATCTTCGAATCTATGTCCTCTCCATGACTTTTTATCTCTAAACGTATGCACGTCATGTGCTTTCCTCGCTTCTTTAAAAGTCTTCATATTTACATCATTAATATTAACATCACACATAATTATCACATTTATAAAACAAACATAAAAAATGAGACACACAGTTAACATTGGAAGTTTGTTTGGTTGTTTTAATTTTATTTTAACCTTGTATGCTTTAGCATTGTCCACAGTCTTATTTGATTGTATGCGTTCATTTTTTGTTTCTATAATTTTTCCATTGGATTCTGATCTTGTTTTGCAGGCGGTGTCAGAATATGTCCGTTCTGTATTCGGTGGGAGGATCGCATGGACGATCTCCTTTAACATTTTATTTTAAATGTTTGCCATTTTTATGGTTCACTTCTTATTTCACTACATTTGTCACCTGTACAATCAATCCAATTAGTTTCACTTTCGGAACGTAGAATGCGATGATCGTTGCGTGGTATAATGCAATAAAACTGATCGTAAAGGTAATAATAGGTTTGATTGGTCTTCAAACAGACTCGTGTTGTGTTTAACAATAGACATTAATTTATCTGATTCCGAGACAAACGTTTGCCTTTATAGCTGGTATGGTAACAACAGAATGCTTATTTGCTTTGTGTACTCACTCTCAGTTACTCACGTGCTATTATTAATCGATCATTTATAATAAATTCTGATAGCGTACGAAAATTTGATTATAATTTGGGCAGAGGGATTGTGACACGAATTAATTATAATTTGCTATTGTGTAACAAAATTTTGTACCTACATAAATAATGTTGAATAAACATTCATGATTAAGCACCCATTTAAACGCTTAAGTATCAACTCCAATGATGAATGATATCTAGTCCTATATCAGTTACAACATCTATGCCTTTCCTGATAAACATAGAAACGTGATTTTTTGATTTTGATTTTGATTTTGGTGTGACAGATAAAAAAAAAGGTATATCGAAAGTAATGCTTTTGTTCTATTTTATCTCATTCTTGTCTATTTTTGGTATTATAAGCTTGTGCTTTGAAATTAAGCTTTCTCTACTGGCTTAGTTAATTTTGACAGTAAAAACGGTTTTCTTATTCATGTGCCGTATAAAAGATTTCATAATAACCTACATTATTAAAATGGAAAATTTGTTAGAGGGTAAGCAGACTTTTCGAAAAAAAAAAGAGACTGAAGGGTATAATAGCCTTTGTGTTCAACACGTGTAGAATAAATGGTCATGTAGGTATCTCTTGTCATGTCATCATGGAAAATAACTTAATGCCAAAGAGTCTTACATACTATCAAACTATAATATAGCATAATTTACCCCTCAGGGTCAATAAAACCATAATTATCTTATACAATATAGCTACTAAACTATTCAAGGGAGCGGCGCCAACTGCCAAAACTATGCGACATTTTACGATTTGCCTAAAAAGTATACCATTTGCTCCCACCTAAGGCATCGCACTACATCGTTCGGCCATTGTTATCTCCTAAGCATGACATATTTGGGACATAATGTGTTGTCATTTGGGACAATGTACCATTCATTTTGTTCGAGTGACACTTCCGGACGATGTGACAAAATTTTGGTAATCTTCTTTCATAAATAATACTTTGACCTTGAGTAGGTCAGTCAATAGCACATTATTATAGTGATTTCTGTTGTAAAATAGCCCGTATTGCAACTGTAAAGATGCCGATATGTGTTGTCGTCTGTACATAGCAGAAGCGTCACCACAGCTGCGGAAGAGTGCGATCCTAATGTATGGATAGTGCGCCATAATATTTGGCCGCCAGTTCTGTGTTCTTACATACTTTATCCGTTATCAGTGCATAATGTTAGGAAATATGGCGTTTATTTGCCAAATACCAACAGCTAAAATTCAGTAAAGTATGTACGAGTATCACTGCATAACAAAGAGATAAATGCAGATGTAGAATAGTACGACTGCATAATTATTAAGATGAGTAGCCCCGTATTCACAAACATTACTATGAGGTCTTTCAGTGTGCGTGGACGCACATGGTGACACACGAACCAATCACAGCTTATTTAACGCTGTGCGTTCGATTTTCTTCTTCACTTAAGTAAGCATCGTTTGTGAATACGTTCGTTAATACTGAAGCGGATTAAAATGTAGATGTAGGTGTCTAATGTGCTGTCGATTATATCTATCAAAATCTAAAATTAGTATCACATTATGATTCGTCAGACCTGACCACCACATCAAAACAGGTTTCTTCACAAAAGGTTCAAGAGTAAAAAATCTTAAGACGAATTTATCATTCGTCTTACTAATAAGATTTTTATAGATACTGATTCACTACAAATAGAAAAACCAACTTTTTGAAATAAGTGCAATTGTTAACATAATCGAAGTAAATTCTTTATTTAGTTCTGCTACTATTGTATTGTACACACCGCGTGTCAGCGAGTCTATTTTTGTCAAACGTATGCGCATAATTATCTTACTAGATCTAAGCACAGTAGAAGCAATTGCAGTATGCTTAGCACAACTAAAATTCATGACTTGAATTTACACTTTTTTAGAAGTATTTGTATTCAAAGCTGTGATTGGTGTAACAAAATTAAAGGATGATGGGCATACATTAAATGAAATGAAAAAAAAATGTATGGAATGTGTTACCCGCTCCAATAGCCATAACCAATATATATTTCAAAAGGCCTTTAGATGCAGGAAAATATCTGCTATGGGGCTAGTTCTAATTCACGTTTTGAAAGCTGTAATTCCACTAGGTATTATAAGAAAGTATAACACATGTATACGAGTATGTACTATGACTACAATCTATTAATATAACTAAAAGAAGCATTGAAAAGGAAAGGATTATACCTACGACGAACTACCCAAGCTATTAGCCCTTGATTCTCTTTCATCATCATCATCATGATCATTTTAGTCACAGCACGTCCAGTTGAACATAGGCCTCCCTAATGATTTCCACAATGGCCGGTTGGTTGCAACCTGTATCCAGCGTATTCCCGTTACCTTTATGAGGTCGTCGGTCCATCTTGTGGGTGGACTTATTGGGTCTTGTGGGTTTATTCACTTTAGCAACTCATAATAAAATCCTTAAGAAGTAATAAAACTCTAACCCCTTTATTAATAAAATTAAGTTACACCCTAGTTGTACTCTGGCTTGAATTCATTTGGTATGGAAAGTAGGGGTAGTAGTTCTTCAAATAAAAATATTTATTTCACAATTATCCTTATAAATAATTATAGAGTAAAGGAAGGATGCTGGAGCAGTAAACCCTTCATGCCTCGCATAACCTAAGTGCCATACAATGGACACGTGTGTGATACTTCGACTACACAAAAAGTATGTTTATCTTCGAACGCAACCAGATCTGAGGCTGGTGGCCATAGTAAATGTTGTTCGTCTTGGTAAGACCTTTCAAATGACACTACAAACATAACTATTGGAGCCGGGTACCATTCTGCAAAAAAGTATGTTTATCTTCGAACACAACCAGATCTGAGGCTGGTGGTCATAGTAAAAGTTGTTCGTCTTGGTAAGATCTTTCAAATGACACTAGAAGCATATCTATTGGAGCCGGGTACCATTTTGCCTATTGTCCTTTAGCCAGAGTCGTCATTTTGTAGTGAAGATTAAATGACGATGATGATGCTGACAGACTTGATTCAATGCTTGAGTTTTAACCAAATTTTGAACTCGTCTCAGATAAAAGCAATCAGTAACAGAAGGTAAACCGTTGCGATTTTTTTTAATAACCAAGAAGTGAAGGAGCTATTGATTAATATTTATAACTTTTTAGCCATAAAGATGTTGTTATATCATAAGTTAAACATAAGTTTGTAAGCTACTTAATGAAAATGGTACTGCTGTCCAGAATTTTATTGTGTCACGTCTTTTTGTTTACATTGAAAGTGCTACAGACGATTTCGTCAGTAGAATGTCATTTCGTTAAGTCATTGGATGGTTTGTTACTGGTATTGGTAGAACTATAAGTTAAAGTAACCAGGTTTTTAACATAAAAAAAACTTTAAAAATTAGTTTTCTTTTTGGAATGTTTGTCTAATAATACTTATACAATATGGCTAAAGTATATTAAAAATTCAATCGTAAAATGGAATCGAATCAAATCGAAACTATTTATTTTTGACATTATTAACAGTAACTTAGCAATTGACATACAAAATTTTACGATTTACGAATAGAAGGAAGAACATTATTCAAATTGATTCTATCCTATCCTACCTGTGGAACTCACAGGATCGCGTTCAAACAATTTATCCTTTTGCACCCAGGATTTTCTGCATACTTTGTTCGCACGATCTGTTTATTAGGCTGGACTTTTAGTAACAACGAAAAAGCGTATAGGAAATTATTTACAAAGTAACTGAATTTTGAAAACAAAAAATACATTTTCATTATCAATATCATCATCTTCATCAAGATTATCGTATCGATCGATCGATTGTCGCAAAAATCTGAGGTGCGATTGTGTAAGGCAATCGTATTCATTTGACAGTTCATAACGTACGATTATTCTGTCAAACGCTTTGTTTAACTGACATTATCGTACGTTATGAACTGTCAAATGATTTCGATTGCTTTACACAATTCCACCTCTGGTTATAATCAAGGATTTAGTTTCAGGATCATATCAATTATTGTAGAAAGTCTTAGGCTGAGTTGCACCACCTAATTTTGACCGTAACTATAACGGTAACCAGTGTTTTTTGTATGGAGTTTGACAGAATTTTGACGTTTGTTAAAGTCAAAGTAAGATGGTGCAACCCAGCCTTAATCTGTATAATACAGTCTTGTTTTAAATCGATACTTGTTGACTCAGCGCACTTCATACCACCTATGTTCGTTACAAATAATGTAGAATTGTAACGATGAAAGGTTTTTTTAAAGTCTAATACTTTTTTTCTCATTTATTTACCAAATAAAAATAATTACAGACAAAATTTGTTTTGACAGCATTCAGGAAACCACTAACGTTTGTGTTGATGCTGTTGCAGTTCTACATCGATACTTATGGTTACAATAATAATTACAATTAATTTACATATTTTATGACTTTAATTAATCAGCCCGAATCTAAACAATACCCGATTTATGTTGACATCTCATTTCCAGACTTAGTTCCAGAACCATTCAATTTAACAATCAGATGTATTATTTTTATAATACTTGTTAAAATAATATTATAATAGTTGTTAATGGAAATACTGGTCGTCATGAGAATTTTTCTTTCTTAGTAGACTTATTTTGTCTCGACGTTAGAAGTTTCAGTAAAGTACACTATAAGTCACACATAAGAAGTATTGTATTCTTTGTCAAGTATTTTCCACAAAACTATTTACTTCACACCGCTGCGCTTCTCACAAAGCACCGCCTTCGAATGGCTTCGACAATCTACCGTG